GCAGCACTGGAAATGAATATGTATACGCCCTTAGGGAGACCTATTGGATTTATGCTTTGGATGTACTATCTCCTGGTGGTCTAAACGAGGACCTTGAGATCAACACCATTATATAGAATCTATATTTATATTACATAATATCATTTATACAAATTCTATACTTGGTCTTTTCAGATTCTGCATTTACTGTACAAGTTATTTATAACGGGTGGTTGGTTTTTTGGCTTTCAGCTCCAATTTATAGCCATCTTCCACAAGTAAGTACATACCATAGAAACTAAGGTCCAGTCCATTTTTGGTTATAACGGTAATTGTGGTTTATGTATTATTTTTTTCCCCCTATTCATGCTTTCTGTGGCACGTCCACTATAAGGTTTAGATGCCATATTATTATATCTATAATAATTTCATGACTAATGCACCATAGATAGGCTTGTCCACTCCTACTTCCACCATTACCGATCCATATCACTCCTCACCCCTTAACCAAATAAACTTTACAAAACACATGACACCATTTGGAGTAAAATGGCCAACATGGCCTTTTATTAACAACTTCACATTTTAAATACATCAACCGTTCCTTATAACGGAAACCAAAGAATGGTGGTCTTCGAAGGCACCCCCAAACGATCCAAATGCATGCACCTGCGGACAACCCTATACACTAGGCCTCCAGCCGCAACCATCCAGCTCGGAGACAACCATACCGTCCGAAGTGCAGCACCACCACCTTCCAGTTAAACCTCGGTCAACTGGGAATGTCCACCGGGCCCCCATATAACCGATGGGTCCCACACCATTGTTTTACCTTCCAAGATGAGAACCGCCTCCAAAGACCAACAACCGCCCATGAACCAACATAGCACCCCCTTTTTTTTTTTTTTTTTACTCCCCTTCCCCGGGAGGGACCCGATATCCAACCAAACAGGGAGGGCGGGAGGGAAGCTCTGGTCCTTCCTCTCCTCCAGCTCCACTGACACCCCCCCCTACAGAACCCCCCATCCTAAGGTGCCACAGCCCCTCCTACACTCCACCTCTGCCAACCAGATCATCCCACTATCAACTCCCAACCCCCTGGAGCTAACTTTAACTCTTTCCGTTCCCCTTCACCTGGGCCTAGTCATGTATGCCCTGCGCTATTTTTCATTCTTCCTTATCCGCTACGGGCATTTCTTGACTAATGCACCATAGATAGGCTTGTCCACTCCTACTTCCACCATTACCGATCCATACCACTCCTCACCCCTTAACCAAATAAACTTTACAAAAACACATGACACCATTTGGAGTAAAATGGCCAACATGGCCTTTTATTAACAAATTCACATTTTAAATACATCAACCGTTCCTTATAACGGAAACCAAGGAATTGTTGTTGGTCTTCGAAGGCACCCACAAACGATCCAAAATACACCTGCGGACAACCCTATACACTAGGCCTCCAGCCGCAACCATCCAGCTCGGAGACAACCATACCGTCCGCAGTGCAGCACCACCACTTTCCAGTTAAACCTTGGTTAACTGGGAATGTCCACCGGGTCCCCATACCACCGATGGGTCCCACACCATTGTTTTACCTTCCAAGATGAGAACCGCCTCCAAAGACCAACAACCGCCACAGCACGCTGGGTAAGCCCTTACCCATGCGTGCCACGCCACAAACGAACCGCCCGTAGTATGCCGTCCTGCAGCTCCAGGGACCACAAATCCGTGCCCACCGCATTCAAATGCACTCCATCGCTTCAAAGGTACTGCCAAGTATCCACCTCCAACTCCACATGCCGGACCACCAATGCTCCATTGCGACTAAAGAAGCGCCCCACCTCCTGACCTTGTTGAGCTGCTCCACCGACCGCGCCAAGCGCCAAAAAGTGCGGGCGACTATGTCGGACCACACCACCACCATCCCCAGAAACTCCCGCCGCAACTGAAGAAAATCCAGCTTGACATCTCGAACCAGCTCCCGCATCAACCTACCCCCCAAATCGTTGCCACCTTCGTGAAGCACCAAACCATCCGGTGGTCTATCCAGCCGCACAAAACGCTGCACCTCTGGCACGACACAACTCCACAACATGCCCGGCACACCTATCCAGCGGACACAAACCTCCCCTCTATCCAACCCCAGCTGCCTGCCATTGGGCCGCACATCAGCCCGCCTGGCCCCCAAAACACATAAGAGTGAACCAGGATCCACACCAGGCACAACGCTCCACCTGAAAGAAAAGAAAACAATACCTCCAGAACAATACATCCAGGGACAAGACCGCAACTACCTCCCACAACCCAAAACAAACAAACACAGGACCGCCCACTAATCCCGCAACAAATGCGGACGAACGTACAGGCGAAATCTCTGAGAATCCCACCTACCGATGCGCTTCACCACATCATCCGACAGCCCCCACCTGGCCGCCTCCGTAGCAGCCCCAATACAAAACGAGTGCGAAGCATACAAAGACGCATCCAAACCAGCAGCCGTCAAACACCGTCGAAAAACTGCCACAAATTGAAAACGCGTTAAAGGGGATCCATCATTGTGCCTGAAAAAGAACCCCCGACCCCCCGGGCGACGGGACAAAAATCCCCGAACTGCCCGAACTGGGCACATCAGTGACCCTGGAAGAGCGAAAAAAACGCACCCTCTCGCACCCCGTCCCAATGGTCCGTCTTAGACCGACGAACTAGCACCTCCACCCATTCATCGGAGCACACAACCTCCTCCACCAATAACCCCCAAGAACCGATTTGGACGGACTAACGAGCTCCCCTATCCGCAATGCCCCAAAAAATGCCACCGCAAAGGCAGCCCGAAATAAGCACACCTCAAAATCCGAAAGAACACACAGTCCGCAAATGCACAAAGACCCCAACAACTCAAAGGACACCGGACGACGAGAATCCTTACAGTGATGAGCCCTCCGGTAACCCCGTAGAGCCTGTCGAACCCAAAAATCTTTCGTGAAATCCCGACACCCTTGTAACTTAAAGAAAAAATGCCAAACCCGCCAGTCGGCGATCCACCGCGGCAGCCGACACCCCCCGCTCCAAACTCCGCGCCAAGAAGTACAACACTGTCACACGCACCTCCGGCCCCCAGGGATCAATATCGACTCGTTGTAACAGATCAAGCCACTCCCGTCAGACCTTAGAGTAAGCGGACCAAGTCGCCTCACTCACCGAACGCCGGATCCAGCCCGCAACGACTCCAAGGCAATCTCCCACAGCCAGTCGGGACAAGGAACCCTGTGTTGCTCCGCCGCCGGCTCCATCTCTCGGAATTTGTCCCACTGAAAGCGAGACAACGCGTCAGCCAAGGTGTTGTCAACCCCAGGGAGATGCACCGCATGGAGAAAAACATTCAGCTGCAAGCAACTGTCAGGAATGGACTCAGCACTGGTGGTGGGACTCACCTGCCGTGTGGGCTGCAGTACCAGGGCTGACCAGCGGGTGCTCTCAGCAGCCAGAAGCTCACTCCTGCAATCAGCCAAGCCTGGGGCTGATTGCAGAGGGTGTATTTAAGGAATGACCAGGCCTGTGATCAGGGCCTTGGTGTATGTATCCCATGAGCCCCTGTACCTGGTATCCTGTGTTCCTGCCTCGTTGCTGACACTGCTTTGATCCTGATCTCTGCTGACCGTCTCCTGCTCTGACCCCGGCTCGTTCCTGACCATCCTTCTGCCTGACCCTCGGTACCACGCTGCCCGCTACCTGCTGAACCTGGCTTGTGACCCCGACCATTCTCCGCTTGCTCCCCCTGTACCACGCTGCCCGCACGTTGCTGACCTGGCCCGTCTGACCACGCTATTACTCTGCCATCCATCCATCCTGCACGGATCCAGCCGTCCCTGCGCACACCTTCTGCCTCTTCACATCAGGCTTTCTACCTGCACATACCTCTGGCGGATCCCTCTACCACGAGCAGGTGTACTCAGGGGCCGCGACCTGGTTCCTGTCTGCTCCAAGTCCAGCCCCACCATCAGGGGCCCTGGTGAATAAGCAGACTGGGACTTAGACTCCGCGCCCTGGGGAATCCTGTCCTGAGGACCGCTAGAGGTACCACCAGACGGTCGTTACAGAACCCTATGGCCGGCCTGACCATTCCACCTCTCCAGCCTTGACTACGCCTGTGTTCCTGCACGTACTAAGATTAGTGGAAGGTTGGTTTGTTCACTGTGCATTTATATATCTGGGTGGCTAATAATAATTATATTGTATCTGAATTCTGCGTTTCCCTGTGTCAGTCCACACCTTTCTGGTCATTCCTAGATTCCTGACATCACACCAAGGCCTTTCCTGACCAGAAGTGGCTGCACAGGGAAGCCATCTTGGCTTGTTGTGAAGGATGCATCCTGAGGAGGTTGAGTATTTGTCTCTGCTAGTCTTTGATGACAGAGAATATGGCTATCAGACTCTGAGGGAGTATACCTGGGATCAGCTGCAAGAGTGTATACGGGTCGCTCATTCCCTAGTAGGTCAGGGCACAGAGTTCTCTGAGGTGCAACCACTGATTCAGGCTTGTGTTGAGTTGGCTTCATCTAGTACCCCTGAAAGCAGGGATGACTTCCTTCCTCCATTCAGGGTGAGTCAAATAGTATCACTGGCATGGTTGTTGGAGGATGATCCGGATTGCTTCTTGGAGCATTATTCAGCATGTTCACCACATGTGCTAAAGAAGTGTATAAATGCAGTGCAATCTTTGACCAGACAGGTTTTGTGTAAGCTGAGTGTTGTCCAACCCTTACTGCAGACATGGTCAGACTTGTTACACCCAGCCTCAGTCAGCTGCAACAAACCAGTCCTGCTTATCATCATTCCTCTACTCAAAGCTCTTTTACTGCATTCTCGACAGCACCCCCAGTGACAGCCCAGTATACCCTGCTATCTACCACATGTCAGTACCCTGCTCCCACTCGCTGTACCATCCTGCCAGTTGACTCGGTGCCAGTTGACTCGGTGCCCACTGTCGTGCCAGTTGACTCGGTGCCCGCTGTCGTGCCAGTTGACTCGGTGCCAGTTGACTCAGTGCCCGCTGTCGTGCCAGTTGACTCAGTGCCCGCTGTCGAGCCGGATGACTTGATGCCTGATGATTCGGTGCCCGCTGTCGTGCCAGTTGACTCGGTGCCTGCTGTCGAGCCAGATGACCTGATGCCTGAGGACCCAATGCCCGCTGTTGAGCCACATGGCCCGATGCCTGATGACTCGGTGCCCGCTGTCGTGCCAGTTGACTCGGTGCCCACTGTCGAGCTCGGTGACCCAGTACCCGCGGTTCTGCTAGATGGCTCGGTGCCCGCTGACATGCCAGGTGACTCAGTGCCCGCTGACTTGCCAGGTGACTCTGTGCCCGCGGTTCTGCTAGATGGCTCGGTGCCCGGTGACTCGGTGCCCGCTGTCGTGCCAGATGACTTGGTGCCCGCTGACGTGCCTCTGCCCACTGCGCAGCCCGACATGCCAGCCCCTGATGTCCAGCTAAACTGGCCAATAACTGATTCCCAGCCTGCTCCTGGAAATCCTGTGCCCAGTGACCTGCCTTCCTGGGTTCTCCTACACAAAGAGAAGTCTACCAGCAGGAAACCCAGCCAGCCGGTTTACTCCGGCAGTAAGATAGTCAGCCAGTTACCTGACCCAGGCGGTGGAACATTTTGCCCACTAAGGACTGTTTGGAGCGTCCTGAGGCCGCTCCTTGAGGGGGGGGGGTACTGTCAGGAATGGACTCAGCACTGGTGGTGGGACTCACCTGCCGTGTGGGCTGCAGTACCAGGGCTGACCAGCGGGTGCTCTCAGCAGCCAGAAGCTCACTCCTGCAATCAGCCAAACCTGGGGCTGATTGCAGGTGTATTTAAGGAATGACCAGGCCTGTGATCAGGGCCTTGGTGTATGTATCCCATGAGCCCCTGTACCTGGTATCCTGTGTTCCTGCCTCGTTGCTGACCCTGCTTTGATCCTGATCTCTGCTGACCGTCTCCTGCTCTGACCCCGGCTCGTTCCTGACCATCCTTCTGCCTGACCCGCGGTACCACGCTGCCCGCTACCTGCTGAACCTGGCTTGTGACCCTGACAATTCTCCGCTTGCTCTCCCTGTACCACGCTGCCCGCACGTTGCTGACCTGGCCCGTCTGACCACGCTATTTATTACATCCTGCCATCCTGCACGGATCCAGCCGTCCCTGCGCACACCTTCTGCCTCTTCACATCAGGCTTTCTACCTGCACATACCTCTGGCGGATCCCTCTACCACGAGCAGGTGTACTCAGGGGCCGCAACCTGGTTCCTGTCTGCTCCAAGTCCATCCCCACCATCAGGGGCCCTGGTGAATAAGCAGACTGGGACTTAGTCTCCGCGCCCTGGGGAATCCTGTCCTGAGGACCGCTAGAGGTACCACCAGACGGTCGTTACAGAACCCTATGGCCAGCCTGACCATTCCACCTCTCCAGCCCTGACTACGCCTGTGTTCCTGCACGTACTAAGATTAGTGGAAGGTTGGTTTGTTCACTGTGCGTTTATATATCTGGGTGGCTAATAATAATTATATTGTATCTGAAGTCTGCGTTTCCATGTGTCAGTCCACACCTTTTTGGTCATTCCTAGATTCCTGACAGCAACGCAACGCTAAATGGCGAAGCAAGGCCACCACCGGTCATGAAGAAGCCGAGACCCGATTGATGACCTGAACCACCCCCAAATTGTCACAGTGAAAACGCACCTCTTGATTCAGAAAATTCTCCCCCCAAACCTCTACCGCCAACACCACTGGAAAAAGTTCCAACAGCACCAAGTTACGGAGAAAACCTGCCTCCCGCCAGGAAGCCGGCCACGAGGCCGCACTCCACCGACCCCGGAAAAAAGCCCCATATCCCGCGGAAGCCGCCGCGCCCGTGAACAATTCCAAGTCAAAATTGCTAACAGGACCAGACATCCAAAAGCGCCCGCCCGTTGAAAGAATTCAAAAAGGTGTGCCACAACTGCAGACAACTGAGTCAGCCGAAGAAAATGTAAAGGGGAGGTAATCTCCGCCGTCGCCGCCGCCAACCAGGGGCAGAACACCCGACCCATTGGCAGGATCCAACAGCTGACTGCAAGGGCCGCAGCTGAATTTTTTGCTTACCCAGAACCGCATGAATTTCCCCCTGTAGGGCCAACAGCTTCTCTTCAGGCAGCCGGCACTACATTGCGCCAGAATCCAAAACGATGCCCAAGAAAGTCATCACCGAAGCAGGGCCCTCCGTCTTATCAGCCGCCAAAGGAATCCCAAAACGTTCAGCAACGTGCTGCAACGTAGCAAGCAAGACCGCGCACACCCTGGAAGCCGGCGGACCCACGCAAAGAAAATCATCCAAATAATGGATGACCGAATTCACCCCCGAAACATCCCGAACCACCCACTCCACGAACGAACTGAACTTCTCAAACAACGCACAAGAGATAGAACACCCCATGGGTAAGCACTTATCAACGTAAAACGCGCCCTGCCAATGGCAACCCAAAAAACGAAAACTGTCCGGATGAACCGGCAACAGCCGGAACGCCGACTCAATATCCAATTTCGCCATGAGCGCTCCGTGCCCATACCGACGAACCCAGAAAACGTCCGCATCAAAGGACGTGTAAGACACCGAACACGACTCTGGATCTATAGCGTCATTCACCGACCCCCCCCTTAGGGAAGGACAGGTGGTGAATTAACCGAAACGCATTCGGCTCTTTTTTGGGCACAACCCCCAAGGGAGAAACTACCAGATCCGAAAACGGAGCACAAGCAAACGGACCACCCATGCGTCCTAACCCCACTTCCTTCCGCAACTTAGCCGAAACCACCTCAGCATGCTGCAAGGCCGACCGTAAATTCCGAGCTAAGGGAGGAATCAAAGTCAAAGTACATGGGATGCGAAAACCCTCCGAAAACCCTGCCGCCAGCAGCACCGCTGCAGCCCGATCAGGATATCTATTTAAGAAAGGCCCCATCCTTTCCACCCTCACCGGCGTCGATCCTCTTACCCGCATGCTCTCCGGGAAGGCCTCTACCCCGCTTGAAACAGCGCGACAAAGGATGGGATCCCCCCCCCGCACCTGGAACACTCGTGCTTAAACCGGCAGGACCCTCCAAAACGACAAGTGCCCTCTTGGAACTGCCAGCAGAAACCCCTACGCTTGGCGGCCGATTGTCCCGGGGAAAACGAACCACCGGCCCCGCCCTAAAAAAAACGGACCAGGGGCCCTCGCGGCGTCATGAGCCGCATCCAGAGGCCAATGTCCTTATGGTCCCAACGCAACGACGGGCGAACAGCCCTCCGCTGCCGAAACTGCTCATCGTACCGAAGCCACGCAGACCCACCGTAAACCCTGTGAGCCTCACTAATGGCGTCCAGGTAACAGAACAATGCCGAGCAATGCTCCGGAGCTTTTTCCCCAATGACACTGGCCATGATTGCGAAAGCCTGCAACCAATTCGCAAAGGTACGGGGGATAAAACGAAAACGCCGCTTCTCCGCTTCCTCCCGCCTACTGTCATCAACCCGGGACCCATCTAACGGAAAACGCTCCAAAGGCAAAAGCGTGAATATAGCCACATACTCCCCTTTCCAAATTTTCTCCCGTACGTCCGACTGTAAATGCGCACCCAAAGGGCCCTCAAAACACACATACACTTCCCCCTTGGCAGAGTCCGCCACGCCGACAGGTCCGGACACCCGAACCCTCCCCCAAAACCGCGGAGGGAACCGTAGAGCCCATAGCCCCGGACTCTGCGGTAAGCACCCCTGTCCCATAACTAAGTGGAGAAGAGACCCCCAGGCCCCGCACCACCCCATCCTGTCCAGGAACCACGAGCCCGTCCCCACCGGCCGGCGGGAGCCACGCAGAAGCAGGCCCAGGGGTCCCAACACCGCCCCACTCCAGCCGCCGCAACAAGTCCCGCAAACCTGAAATCACCTCTCCGAGACCCCCACCTAAACCCGACAGGGGAACGCCGCCAACTAACGCCGCCGAGGCGCGCCCACAGGGGCGGCCTGACCGCCCCCCAGCAGATCCCTGTAACGCAGAAGAAAAGGAGACAGACTCAGGAACAGATAACTCACCAGGCTGCCCAGGAGATGCCCCATCAGCCGCGCACCCCTGCTCCACCGTTGAAGAGCGGCCAGCTGTCGCCCCCGCATCGGGTTCCGACAGCTCGCCCTCCGACCTCTCTTCCACCTCTCGACGTCTGGATGGCCTCCTGGTCCCAGGAGCCACGGGTCCTGCAGGGCTGTGCCGCTCCTGACTCCACCTCCTGGCACCAGCCACGCTTGTCGCCGTCCCTGGGCTCCGTCCTGCAGCACTACCAGCTGCACTCCGCCCAGTGCTGATCCTCTTCCTCTGTCTTCTTGGAGCCAGAGCTCCAGACTTCCCAGGGGGCCCGCCAGCCGCATCAGGAGACAGCCCGGCAGCCGCAGCCGAACGCCACCCACGCCGAGCACCCTCCCTGACAGGCACCATGTCAGCGGAGGAGCCGGTGACAGCACTTTCTCTTCTTCCTCCTCGCCCTGCGGGCGGGGGGAGGGGCTTCCTCACGAAACCCCGCCCGCCGAGCTCCGCCATTGCCGGGGATTCCTCCCGGCATCTCCGCTAGCAGAGGCAAGTGAGCGCCCTGCCAGCGGGGCCGGAGGGTCCCGAGCGGGGCTCCCAAGTCGGCGCTGAGCTCCTACAGGGGGTGGGGCCGCACTAAAGCGCTCCGGAGGCCTAGACCTCCGAGCACGTGGGCGCTCCCGCCCCCCTGCTGCTGGTGACAAGCCCGGGTCTCCCAACAGATCAGAGACCCGGCCCTGCAGCCAGTCCATGCCCCTGTCTTCTGCTGCTTCCCGCAGCTGTGCCAAGATCCCCTCCATGCAGGTCTGATGGGTGGCAATATCAGGACCCAGCTAATGAAGCTCTGGTCCTTCCTCTCGTCCAGCTCCACTGACGCCCCCCCCCCACAGAACCCCCCACCCTAAGGTGCCACAGCCCCTCCTACACTCCACCTCTGCCAACCAGATCATCCCACTATCAACTCCCAACCCCCTGGAGCTAACTTTAACTCTTTCCGTTCCCCTTCACCACTCTGGGCCTAGTCATGTATGCCCTGCGCTATTTTCATTCTTCCTTATCCGCTACGGGCATTTCTTGACTGTGAGGTCATTTTCTTTATTATATACCAGCACATCCATTCTATTTTGATCACTACCGTGTTGTTCCCCCCCCCCCCCCCTTGTTTTTCCCTACCTAAGTTATCCCATTGGTACATTATACTCTGGCTGAAATTTTATCTCTATCTTTATTTTTTTTCAATTAACTGCTAATGTGTTACTAACATATGTTTTAGATTTACAATCATGTGCAACTTTTGTATTGATCACTGTTGCTTTATGTACATTTTACCCATATATTGTAGCTGTCCATCTCACCTAAATTACATAATTACTTGTATTTTATAATATAGGATCCTAGTAAGATAAACACGTATTCTCCAACTTACTCTGTGCTGTAATCCATTTTGTTCAGATTTATTTCTCTTCATGTACATTCTGTGAAGAGCGTGGGCCAGAACATTTACAGCCATCATCACACA